AACCACAGAATCCACAAAAACCCACAGAATCCACAGAATCCACAGAATCCACAGAAACCACAGAATCCACAGAAACCACAGAATCCACAGAAACCACAGAAACCACAGAATCCACAGAATCCACAGAAACCACAGAAACCACAGAATCCACAGAATCCACAGAATCCACAGAAACCACAGAATCCACAGAATCCACAGAATCCACAGAAACCACAGAAACCACAGAAAACCACAGAATCCCACAGAATCCACAGAATCCACAGAAACCACAGAATCCACAGAATCCACAGAATCCACAGAATCCACAAAAACCACAGAAACCACAGAATCCACAGAATCCACAGAATCCACAGAAACCACAGAAACCACAGAATCCACAGAATCCACAGAAACGAATCCACAGAATCCACAGAATCCACAGAAACCACAGAATCCACAGAAACCACAGAATCCACAGAATCCACAGAAACGAATCCACGCGGGCACGAAGAGATTCTTTCAGACTGAACCTGAGCTCAGGGCTGCAGACGGGAGTTCATTTCCTCTAGATCCAGAAATACTGATCTGAAACACTCCCTCCCTCCGACTCATTTCTTACTAAACTTGATTCCACATATCGTCCGCACTGCTTCGATCCTGATGATATTAAACGTAAGCAGACCTTCACTGCAGCAACAGCTATACCGTTGGCTAGTTTAATATATGTTTGTAGCTCCGTCCTGTTTGAACCAGGTGTCTCTAAAAAGTCCTATTTTACTCATTATTTGGAAATGTTTCACTAATATATTTTTCACGTATTTCATTGACATTTCTTTTCCAATCTTTACTTACATTGTACACACACTTGTTGGGTAGAACATTGTACATATTTGTCCAATATTAATATTAATATGTTTTTCTATGTATTCTTTCAGATATTTCTATAATAATTCATTTTAAAATGTTCTGCTGCAGATGTTTTTGTATACTGTTGACTCAAATCATTTTTGTCGTACATTTTCAGACTCTTCTCGTGTTTTTAGGACATAGTTAGATATTTTCTATGTCATTTTCTGAAGCAATTGTCTGTAGTATACCCATTTGCATATTTTCGAGATATTTTCCAGCCTGTCCCTGCTGTCTACGGCAGACCTTTCTCTCCTTTATAAACTTGTTTTTCATGATGAAGAGTTCAGAGGTCAGCCTGCAGACACAACCTTGAAACCAGGAAGAGCTGAAGGTCGTGCAGGAGGACCATCAAACCCCCCCCCCATGACTTCCTGCCTCCCAGATGAAAAGAGAGCAGCTTCCCCTCACACTGCGACAGGAGATGAAAGGGCTCAGATTCAGAGGTGATACCGACAGATACATAAAACAACAACGTGCACCTGAACGCCACACAGATGCTAATGGAGCTCCACAGGAGGTGTATTGATATATTCACATCTCACACTCAGGGCCGTATCGACCATTGAGGTCACGTGGTCCGGACCTCGGTCATTTTTCCCGAGCTGTGTATATAACTCTAACCTTGTGAAATAACTGCACTAAACGGGGTTCTTTGTACTTCCATTCACTGACGATGGGGGCGCTGCATAACTACGCTGCCTCGATTAAAGCAAACAGAAGAAGACGACATGTATCGACAAACCACCGCAGCCCGGACTTGAACCGGAGCAGCGAAGGAGTGATGAGGTATCTAGAGATCTGAGTCCAGCGGGCTGCTTGTGTTTCTGTTCATCAGGACATCATATGATCAGCAGATCCTGTGTGAACGCTCTACGTTAGTCAGTGGACGTCCGACAACATGCACACTAACTTATATTGCAACTATAGGCTATACTTTGGTTTACATTGCGTGAATTTACATTACATTACATTACATTGCATTTAGCTGACGCTTTTATCCAAAGCGACTTACAATAAGTACATTCGACCAGGAAGACACAACCTTGAAGAAAACAGAATCATAAAAGTACATCAGGTTTCATAGAGCCAAACATTTCAAGTGCTACTCAACTGGCTTTAGGTAAGCCAGTCCTTTATTGGTATAAAAGTGCTTTGTTAATAGTTCTATCGCTCGAAGTGGAGTCGAAAGAGATGAGTTTTCAGTTTGCGCCGGAAGGTGTGTAAGCTATCTGCTGTCCTGATGTCAATGGGGAGCTCATTCCACCATCTTGGAGCCAGGACAGCAAACCCACGTGTTTTCGCCGATGGGAACTTGGGTCCCCCTCGCAGCGAGGGTGCAGCGAGTCGTTTGGTTGATGCAGAGCGTAGTGCACGTGCTGAGGTGTACGGTTTAACCATGTCCTGGATGTAGGAAGGGCCAGATCCATTCGCAGCATGGTAAGCAAGTACCAGCGTCTTGAAGTAGATTCTAGCAGTTATCGGAAGCCAGTGAAGGGAGCGGAGGAGCGGCGTGGTGTGGGAACATTTAGGAAGGTTGAAGACCAGACGAGCCGCTGCATTCTGGATGAGCTGCAGAGGTCGGGTGGCACATGCAGGTAGACCAGCCAGGAGGGAGTTGCAGTAGTCTAGGCGTGAGATGACGAGAGCCTGGACCAGAACCTGAGTCGCTTTCTGTGTCAGCTGGGGACGTATCTTCCTGATGTTGTAAAGCATGTATCTGCAGCAACGGGTTGTAGCAGCGATGTTTGCAGTGAAGGACAGGTTGTTATCTAGGGTCACACCCAGATTCCTTGCAGTCTGAGTCGGGGAAACAACAGAGGTGCCGATGTTGATAGTTAGGTCAAGATAAATAAACTAGCTAGAGAGCTCAAGTTAATTATGTTCATCCAATGTCAGAAGGATTACCTTTTAACAAACGTTGTAATGATTTTCTTTCATTTCAATTTGAGTAAAACATTGAAGATATAACTTGGTTTGAAATCAATATATTATCCAATGTGTGACCCCCTCAGGACTTCAAAAGCACCTAACTAGATCATGAAAATCCCAGAAATCTCGGGGGGGGGGGGGGGTCATGTTTGGACCTCTGCATGTAGGAAATCCTGGATACGGCCCTGCTCACACTGCACTGTAACCTTTACTCATGTACCTTTGTTATTCATGTTTTATTATCGTTGCTTTTTAATGACTGTTTTTAAATGCCATTTTATAATATGTTTCTTAATGTCTTTCATTTTGGTAAAGCGCCTTGTTTTGAAAGGTGCTATATAAATACCCCGCCTCTTTGTCTCGTGTACCCCGCCTCTTTGTCTCGTGTACCTCTTTGTCTCGTGTACCTCTTTGTCTCGTGTACCTCTTTGTCTCGTGTACCTCTTTTTCTCGTGTACCCCACCTCTTTGTCTCGTGTACCCCACCTCTTTGTCTCGTGTACCCCACCTCTTTGTCTCGTGTACCTCTTTGTCTCATGTACCCCACCTCTTTGTCTTGTGTACCCCACCTCTTTGTCTCGTGTACCTCTTTGTCTCGTGTACCTCTTTGTCTCGTGTACCCCACCTCTTTGTCTCGTGTACCCCACCTCTTTGTCTCGTGTACCTCTTTGTCTCGTGTACCTCTTTGTCTCGTGTACCCCACCTCTTTGTCTCGTGTACCCCACCTCTTTGTCTGGTGTACCTCTTTGTCTGGTGTACCTCTTTGTCTGGTGTACCCCACCTCTTTGTCTGGTGTACCCCACCTCTTTGTCTCGTGTACCTCTTTGTCTCGTGTACCTCTTTGTCTCGTGTACCCCACCTCTTTGTCTCGTGTACCTCTTTGTCTCGTGTACCCCACCTCTTTGTCTCGTGTACCCCACCTCTTTGTCTCGTGTACCCCACCTCTTTGTCTCGTGTACCCCACCTCTTTGTCTCATGTACCCCACCTCTTTGTCTCGTGTACCCCACCTCTTTGTCTCATGTACCCCACCTCTTTATCTCGTGTACCTCTTTGTCTCGTGTACCCCACCTCTTCGTCTCTGTGATGATCTGGGAAGAGTTGCCTAGATTGACTCTGTATTCAACCCTTTTGTTCTGCACTCCCGGCATGTTGGGGTCTCTGCAGCCGCTGCAGCTAGGCTTTTTTCACAGAATTTCCATGGACTTCCCCCTAAAGAAATATGGAAATACATTTAGGAGAACCCTAGGGGTTCTTGAGGGGATTGCAGGGGGTCGGTGGAAAAGAGAAGTAGGGATTATAATTTATTTCAACAACAAAAACATTTTAAAATGCATTTCCATACGTGTGGTGTGTGCGCTTCAGCGTCCGCGAGTTACAGCCCTATAGGGATGGCAGAGTTGTCTATTGCCACTTAAATATCGTCCACAGAGTGAAGACAATGCTTAAACCCGCAGAGAACAACGTCATTAATGCGTAACTGCTTCTCTCATTTAGACCTGGGAACATCATATCATTAAAAATCACAAAATGAATCCACACTTTTTAATCCAGGGGTCGAGAGAGACTCTTCTTAATCTCAGTTGGGTAGCTTCTCCTTCATCTCGTAAATCTTTGAAGTCTTACTGCCTCAGCTCTGCCCTGTATTCTCACAGACCGGAGATATGCAATGATGCTAAAATAAATTATAATGTTTTTTCAGCGGCAAAGAAACAAGATATAAAGTGTACTCTCTGTTTGCCTGCCATTAGTCACTCGTCCCGAATGTTGCATAATTATGTTAATGAGCACGGCTCCATTATTTTCTCACTACAACAGGCTCTTAGAGATCTCTAATTGCCACACACACACACACACACACACACACACACACACACACACACACACACACACACACACACACACACACACACACACACACACACACACACACAACATTTTCTCTTTCTATGTGTTCATTTAAATACTTTTTTATATTTTTTTATATTTTCTTCTTATGTTAATATAAATATTTTCACTATATCTTATTTATTTCTCACATTTTCTCCTTAACTTCTCATGTTTATATGACTCCTTTTATTCTATTTAATTGCACAATTTTACTTTAATTATGATTATATCGTTTTTTTTTTTTAATTGTATACATTTTTATTTTATCCAGCATTTAACATTTCCTTTTTTTTACGTTTATATTAATTATTTTTTATTTTTATCTTTGTGCTTTTCATTCTAAAATGGAGCAAATGTCATGAAACCAGATTTCCCTCAGGGTTAAATTAATCATTTTGATTCTGATTTGAAAACAATGAGACCAGTGACGGAGCTGTGTGTCTGCCGGGTCACGATCTCGCTCTGCAGGAGGGAAAACCTCTGGGGAAACCTGCCATGGTGTCAGAGCGAGACTTCGTTTTCTGTCCTCCCACGGACAATTACAGAAAGCTCAGCGAGAAGCCAAGAGGACTCGAGCCAACACACAACGTGTGACAGTGAAAACATCAAATGTACACGTCCTGCAAACCTCATCTGCTTTCTCTTTATCTGCTTCATCCCTCTGGCACCACACAGAAAGCCTCTAGGCAGAAATGAAGATCACTACGCCGTGGAACTGTTGCAGGAATATTATAAACTAACAAAAATAAAACATTGCTTTTGAAACAATCCCTTCAGATGTGATTCAACATGATTGCAATGTGAGTTCAGGCTGATGCAATAATGTTTCACAACAGGACCAACAAAAAGAAAGGGCATTTTAAGAAATTGCATAATGACTCGAAAGCCAATATGACTATATTAGGCGTGTTTCTGGTCTTCATAATGTGGTGTTTATGAAGTACAGCAGCATTGGAATGACCAGGGGATTCAGGCCTCTCAGTTAAATTACTGGTGTGTGAGAAAATACTCAAAGTGTAGAAATCCTTAAGATTTAAGTGCTTTGGATCCATGTTGGGAAATTCATTATATAGCGATTAAAAAAGGGGTCCATCTTTACAAGCAAACACATTAATAACTCTGAAACAACAATCCAACATGTTCTGCATTATAGTTTTTACTCCGGGCTCTATAAGTATGTTTGGCTGCTAACACTAGTGGTGCAGGGAGGACTTCTTTCCAGGTATTGCAAAGGCTCCATCGAGAAAACCTAAAGAGACGTTTAGTCATCTCATTTAGACACTTTCTTCAATGTACTGACGTATTTTATGTTGTAGAACTAAACATCTCTTCAGCTTGAGTTAATCACAGACTTTATTTCAGACTAACAAAACATTGAATTCCAGACCAGGGGACAGGAAGTGATGAAATGCTGACTCATTTCCACATTTTAGGACTTATTCCTGCACTGCTCTGTAGCGTGACCCCTCACCTCCCTATCTCATTAAAAATGAAGTGTTATTGATCAGGTCTCCTCCCGGCAGACAGGCCCTCTCTGTGTTATTTTTGCCTATTCTAAAGTATTTTATTATTCCTGCATGCTGAAGTCCCTAAAATGACTTTGAATTGCAAAAAAAGGGGTAAGACTGGAAACAAAAATATGGATTTATAGGCGTTATCCGACTCAGGACATCAGTGTCTCTAAAATCCTGTTTTCATCATTTCCAAACTTTTTGTCTCAAAGTGTAAACTGAATCGTAATCGGGGCTCAAAGACGTTGTGGTGCGTAGTCGATCATCCTGAACAAATCCACCCACAAGGCCGTGCTTCAGCCCTCTTTCACTCTTCCGTCCATCTGGCAGTGGTTAAAGATTAATACGCTGGAGCCGGAGAGGACGGGCGCTTTATATCCAGGCAGAGACATAAATCAAACTGCACTTACTGACATTAACTATGGGTGCATCGCCACCAGCTAGAAATTATATTTTGAGAGCTGAGATCATAAATGATCCATAAACACAACCTGCATTAGTTGTTTAATTTCAAAACAATTTTTTACACAATATATCTGATCCAAAATCTCTATAACGATAATATGACACATTTGTAGGGTTGACTTTAAAGTGGTGCAGTTACGATTCCTAAAACCAGGAAATCACTAAGCATTTTAACACTTCCAGTTAACTCGTCTGGAGGTCAATGGTGTCCTGAATGTGTTTTTGGTTGCTATTCTGAAATAAGGTCTGTGGTTAACACAAGCTGAAGAGATTTTAATTCTACGACATCGTCATCACGCCCAACATTAGCTGCCTTTAGCTTAGCGGTGGTGAAGTCATGTGACCGTACTGTAGTTCCTTTATAGCCCAACATTAGCCTCCTTTAGCTTAGCGGTGGTGACGTGAAGTCTTGTGACCGTGCTGTAGTTCCTTTATAGCCCAACATTAGCCACCTTTAGCTAACGGTGGTGACGTGAAGTCATGTGACCATGCTGTAGTTCCTTTATAGCCCAACATTAGCCTCCTTTAGCTTAGCGGTGGTGACGTGAAGTCATGTGACCGTGCTGTAGTTCCTTTATAGCCCAACATTAGCCTCCTTTAGCTTAGCGGTGGTGACGTGAAGTCATGTGACCGTGTTGTAGTTCCTTTATAGCCCAACATTAGCCTCCTTTAGCTTAGCGGTGGTGACATGAAGTCATGTGACCGTGCTGTAGTTCCTTTATAGCCCAACATTAGCCGCCTTTAGCTTAGCGGTGGAGAGGTGAAGTCATGTGACCGTGCTGTAGTTCCTTTATAGCCCAACATTAGCCACCTTTAGCTTAGCGGTGGTGTGATGCCCCTGTGGGTCCATCAGTAGAGAGTGTGTGGCTGTTCTGTCTGTGCTGCATTGGCTCCAGTGATTGCATCGATTACAGTAACTCAGGGCACCTGGGTCTGGTGTCCTGCAGCTATTTAAAGCCTCTCTGCTCCTCTCTGTTCTCGCTCTGCTTTCCCCTGCAGACACCTGGGTTTTGGTTGAGTATGAAGTACGGGTTTTCTCAGTTGCTCCACTTTGTTGCACTCTATGAATTTGGCTAATTACTTTCTTTAATAAACATATTGTTCTACCCATTGACATGTTGTGTCTCCTTTTTGTTGTGGCCTTTTGAGCCAGGTCGCAACAGGTGGTGACGTGAATGTGACCGTGCTGTAGTTCCTTTATAGCCCAACATTAGCTTTTTACTTCAGAAATCAGGTGTGTTAATATGTGGAGATTATCCTGCTGAACTAAACGTGTAAGAATCATAAACGTTTGTTTGAAACAGAGATATTTTCTGCAATAATTCAAAATCACAATGAGAAATCCCATTGGACCAGAGAGATGCTGCCTTCAGGGACCAACACAGGAATACGACATCCTTGCACCACTCTATAATTGAATTATTTAGTGTACACTACTTTGTGCGTTAAGATATCTGTATATTCACTAAAGGGTGGATTTTCTCCTGCCTTTACTGTCTGACATGTAACAAAGTGTAATGTTTTAATATGAAAGCTGTCACTTTATCTTGGTGATCACAAGCTCTCTGACTGCGTGTGAGGTAATTAAGTCCTATTCTTCTATCTCCCTCAGGACTGACAGGACACAAAGCACACAGAGCGATGAATGCGCAATTACAAACGTCTGGTGATTAGTCCTGAAGCCCTTCGCTCTCTTTGTGCCGGCTTGGATCTGACGCCTCTATCAGCGTGTTTAAACAAAGTGTCTTCAGGGTTATTGAGCTGCTGCCATGATCAGGAACAGATTTCAGAGTAAACGTGTTGATGTGGGAGCTTCAGAGACGCCTGAGCAGGAGAATAGATTTACAGACAACTACAATAACCTTACTATACAGTAGACACATTCATTTATATTGAATACTACTCAAAAACGTGAACCAGAAATGTTTTTGCCAGGAAAACAATTATTGTTTAAAACTATATTCCAACGAGTCTAATGCCAAAAACTGCAGTTCTTCAAATGGTCTCTATAGCTAAGTTTCTTGTTAATGATTAGTTAAGAGTATGCATGCAGTGTGCTATACATCACCTTGTTAAGCAGTATTTTTATAATATAGTACTACTTTAACTTAAAGGACCCTATTCTGCTGATGTTCAGGTGTATATCAGTATGTAGTGTCTCTACTTTAAAGAGTCCTCTCCTGCTGATGTTCAGGTGTATATCAGTATGTAGTGTCTCTACTTTAAAGAGTCCTCTCCTGCTGATGTTCAGGTGTATATCAGTATGTAGTGTCTCTACTTTAAAGAGTCCTCTCCTGCTGATGTTCAGGTGTATATCAGTATGTAGTGTCTCTACTTTAAAGAGTC